GGGGGGGGGGGGGGGGGGATGGGGGACGGGGTCGTGCTTACTGCGTTTGATGTCCACAGCCCTGTCACGTGCCTCACGGTTGTTGTTCGGCTCACAGCTTGTAGCCGCAACCTCAAAGGGACTGAGGTTCTTTTGTAGCTCCAAAGGTTTCAGGCAACGCTCCGCAGTGAAGGTTCGCCCTTCCCTCAGCCACGACTTGAAGAACTCGTGCCACGTTGCTGCTGCCGTGGGGGTAAATACACCCTGAGCCTCTGATCTTCCACAATATACCCTCGGTCGCCCCGGTGGTCTAGTGGTATCCTCGTAATCCGCTAGTCGCAGTCGTGAGTTCGAATCCCCATGGGGTGAAAAATTTACGAAATGTGCGGGTGAAAGCGAATATCATAACTGACAAGCTGTCGTGAGTACCAAGCTTCGACGTTAGCACCGTTGACGAGGGAAAGGGACAGCTGGACCCTTCTCGCGATAAAAATAAAATTCAGCACGCACCGCAGGAGGAAGGTGGGGCATGAAAAAAATAAAAAGAAGAAAGAAGCCCTGGTGCTTACCCCCTCCTGTGTGACCCTGGATGGTTGTATGCATAGTTGTACGAGAAAATACACTGAAAAGTGTAGTACTCTAGTCTACATACATACGCTGAAGAGTGTAGTACACGTCTCACCACGAAAAATGGGGGGACTGTCGCCATAATAAATAGGACGAAAACATAAAAAAAAACACACACACACACAACGCCCTCAAAGTTAAGCCCAGAAATGCGCGGGTTTCCTCGCCCCCCAGCCGTGTCGTCCTCCGTAATGTTTATCGGGAAGCACAACGCAAGCAAAATGAAGCAGGCTAGCAACGCATGATTGGGTACCCCGTCCGCTCATACCCGTACTCCGTACCCCTGTCTCCACCGTTTTACCGTTGCCGTCCGATGCAGGTGTTCTCAGACTGGGTAACACAGACAGTACGCCTCCGGCGCGGCCAGGCGTACGCCGAGGTTGACTGGGCGGTGGGGCCTGTCCCCGTGGGCTCTTCTTCCTCTTCCCCGCCGTCTTCCGACTCTGCCACAGGTNGTTAGACCATTGACCTCGCATCCCTACAAAGCCGGGACGGAGCACGCCGGGTTCTCACCGGACCAGGCTCTCACATCACCAAGCGCGAAGCGCCGTGAGGTATTCGGCGAGTCGCATGAAGACTGCGCTGCATCCTGCTAAGG